CATTCTAGGAAAATGGTCGTCTGTTGAATAAGAGTGAATCACCCAGGGGAAGGTTTGGGGTCATCGTCCCGGGCCTCTCGTCCCCACCTTTTGGTTCCCCGCTGATGCTCGGGCTGCCTCTGGGGGCTGTGGGGGGAAGCAGTGACGCCAGATCCGGAATTTCACCCAGACACATGCAAATGGCCCGCGGAATCTATGGAGGAAGTTCTGAGGCAGGAGGGCTGTGGGCAGCTCAGGGCTACCAGCCGCAAAGCAGAAGTGAGAATGGGCGAGAATTCCCAGTTCTCCTCCCCTGGTCCCTTCCCTTCTCGTTCTACCTCAGCCCACTTCCCCGTGTGGGCCCGTCCCTGCCGGCCCAGAAACGAGACCTCTGGCTTCTACCCAGTTACCCAAGTCTGCAAAAATGCCCATCTGTAACGGAAGCCAGCCTTCTGAGGCTCCTTGCAACTCCAGAATTAAGGAATGGACTTGGGGGCGCCCAGAGGGGCTGGTGAGCAGGTGAAAGAAGAAGGAAGAACCCCTGTTGGGTGTCAGCCACCTGTCAGGTCTGGCTGCGGTAACAGGTACACACCTGAAAAATATTGTCTTAGCCGAGAGTTTTGATAGAGCCATTCTACATTCCCAGGAACTTCCACTGTAATTAATCGTCAATTGATTTCTCTCTCACTTACATGTGTGCGAGAAGGCTCTGGCTTCTCAGGAAGCAAACTGTCTATTGACAAGTGAGTCAAAGCACTGGGCGGTTGTTACTTGTTCATGAAGGAGGGTGTTGGCGCCTCTGGGCCCCCCAACCCCTGCACCTGCCCCGCGTTCCCTGGAAGGTGGGGATAAACGGCCCTGAGAAGAAAGTGGTTTCTGCAATCTCCTCTCTCTCCTCCCTCCTTCTCTCTTTCTAGCAACAGGCTGGGCTCCTCTCACCGTATTTCCATCCCCGGTTTGGTGGCTTTTGCTGAACCATTGAACCCATATTTAACCCAAGGTGCAAACAAAACTATTCAATGAGTCTACAGTCAATTAAAGAATCAGTCGTCCATTTTGGATGGTATTTCTTTTTCTGGGGCATGAGTTTTCTTCTTTCTTCATATATAACTGATTTTTTTTTTTTGAGACAGAGTCTCAGACTGTTACCCAGGCTAGAGTGCCGTGGCGTCAGCCTAGCTCACAGCAACCTCAATCTCCTGGTCTCAAGGGATCCTCCTGCCTCAGCCTCCTGAGTAGCTGGGACTATAGGCACAAGCCACCATGCCCAGCTAATTTTTTCTATTTTTAGTTGTTTGGCTAATTTCCTTCTATTTATAGTAGGGACAGGCTGCTCGTTGCTCGGCTGGTCTTGAACTCCTGAGCTCAAGCGATCCTCCCGCCTCGGCCTCCCAGAATGCTAGGATTACAGGTGTGAGCCACCAGCCCCGGCCTATAACTGATTTGTATTCATCGTATTGAGGATAGCTATACAGTCAGCACACACACATGGTCTATAACTCACAAGTATTAGTGTGATAATTATAATAAAGAAGAAGGATGCTGAGGGGTAAGCTGGGTGGGGAAGACCTTCTGGGCCAAGGGTAAGGATCTGGGGCACGTTCTCTGGGGCCAGCCTTGCAAGGGGCCAGCCTGGCCTCTCGGCCACTTCATCTCTCTGAACCTCAGTCTTCATCTGAATGCCGGAGGAGGAGCTCACAGGACTGCTGTGTGCTTCTCCCTCCGAGTCCCCCTGTGGTGGACTCCTGGCAAGATCCTCGCCACCTGGGGCTGCTGACAGACGCAGCACGTCAGGCCCCAGACAGGCCAGTGAATCAGCGCCCACGTTTTAACAAGATCCAGGTGATCGGTGCTGACGTTAAAGTTTGAGAGGCGCCGGGCTGAATAACGTGCCGTGCGGTGCCATATTGAAAGCTCCCGGCAGAGAAGGGGCGTGGATAAATGTTAGCGTCCCATCCTGTTCCCCTCCCTGAACCTTCGCTGCTGCTGCTGCTGATGCTCCTGGGAAACTCAGCTCTGGGGGGAGGGGTTGGGTTAGAGGGTGGCAGCCCTGGCAGCGTGCTGGCGCTGCAGCCCACCAAGTATTCTCATCCTGGCTCACGGGTGGAAGAGTGAGCCCCTGGGAGTCCCTCCCGCAAGTGGTTCTAAGGTCACAGAGTGAACCCTAGGGGACCAGGGCCCCATGTGCCCACAGCTTCAGCCGCCAAGCCCAAGCCATGGCCACCCATGGAAGTGGTCACTCCCTCTGGTGGGGGAAGGGGCCAAGAGGGCGGCTGGAATCTATGATCATCATGAGGGTTTGCTAGACAGGATGTAAAAAGACCCCAAGGAGCTAGGGTGTCCTAAATGTGACACCAAATGTGGCAGTTTAACAAGTTTCACTCAATACCCACTTTGGGGACAGCCACCCCATGCTGGGCACTGGGGGTACAAGGGAACCACACGGGCACATGGGCGGAGGGGAGTTCCGGTCAGGAAGGGCAGGTGCAGGGGACCCCTGGGGACAAACGCGGGGCCCACAGCAGCACGGGCTGCTAGGAGGACCACCCAGGCGGGGCGGGGTGAGGGCGGGGAGGCGCAGGTGCCAGGCACCTGCCCCAGGGACGCCGCAGGAGGGAGCCGGTGGGGTGGCCGTAGCCTCTGGACAGTCTCAGTGACCTGGCGCTAGGGAATGTTCCTGGCCTAAGGAAGGACCTGGGTCTGGCCGAAGAGAGGCGAGAGCCAGGCGCAGCCCGGGAGGTAGGTGGCGGCAGGACGGGAGCCCTGCCCTAGCGTGCCCTCTGGCCGGGCGCGCACCCTGCCGGGAAGCCCGAGGCCGCAGCTGCTCGGGGGCCCGGCCCAGAATAGCCTCCTTCCGGGCAGGGCTGCCCCGGCCTGGCCCGCAGCGCCGGCGCCTAAAATAGGGCTCGGCCGGGAGGCCGGCGGGCGGCAGCGGGCGCGAGGGGCCACCTTGGCTGCGGGACTCGCTGGGGAGCCTGCGGGCGCGGCGCCAGGGCGGGACCGAGGGCCAGGCTCGCGCCGGCGGGAAGGAGCGGGCGGGGACCGCGGCGCGGGGGCAGGGCGGGGCGCGGGGCGCGGGGCCAGCCCCAGGCGGGCGCAGCACGGCGCTGACCTCACAGCCCGCAAGGACGCCCGTCGGGGCGGGGGCTGATGGAAGGCCCGAGGAATGCGCGCTGGCCGCGTTCCCTTCCCGTCTACACCGTGCGCGGGGAGCAGCGCAGCCAGGACCAGGGCCGGGGCCTGCCCTGTCCTCGGCCACAGACCCTGCCCCGCAGTCCTCCGTCCTGTGAAGGGCAGCGTCCTGCTTCCTCTCCGCCCCCATCCAGGGGCAGCCTGCGGCCTAGTGGTCCTGGGCGCTCTGTGCCTCCCCGCCCCCCAGGAGGTGGGCAGCGTGGCTCGAGGGCCTGGCTCAGGCTCGCAGCCTAAGCGGACATCGAGGCTGAGGGAGAGGTGGGGAGGTGCCTGACCCCACATTCTCCCCAGCACAGCCAGCCCCCTCGCGCCCCTCCACCCCACCCTCTTTAACCTCCCCAACCACTCCCAGCCTCAGTTTCCTCATCTGTTAACCAGTGATTAGTCATATCTGCCATCCAGCGGCGTTAGGATGGAAATAGAATAATTATGTAATGCTCCGTGCCCTCCATAGATGTGGTCCTCTCTCCCGTGTCCCCGCCTCCTCCTTCTCCTCAGTCAGGCCTGCCCCCATCACCTGGACACATGCACACCCTTGCCGGAGCCCTCCCCTGCACTCCCCTCCCCTCCCTCGGAGTTACCTCGAACCCCACCTCATGCCAGAGGATGGTCCGACTTGTCAGAACCTGCAGGAATCCCAGGCTAAGGTCCAGGAATATTAACTGAGGGCCCGACCTGGCTGGGTGAGTCAGCGGCCCATGACCGCCACCGCTGCTCCAGCTGCCCTTCACAGCTTGGCCGCACAGCTGCCAGGATGAGGCAGCCCCTGGAAGTTGCTGGGGAGACCAGTGAGTCTTGGGGGTGGGATTAAGAGCACAGGGGTTGGGGGGCAGGAAGGGGCACTCGGTCTCCCCTCTCCTCCCCTGTGGGGGCTGAGGCTTGGGACCAGGGGACCAGGGCACCCCATGTGAGGAAGGGCGGGCCTGACTTACTGTAACTTCCTGGCCGAAAGCCTGATTGTCCTGTGGTTGGGCTGCCCAGCCAGAGGCCCCCGGTGCAGGGAGGACTCAGGGAGAACTTGCCTCCCGCTGCATTGCACTGCTTGGCCGGGGGTGGAGTGTGGGGGTATTGTCACTGAGGTCCCTGGGGAGCATGAGTAGACCAGGTGGGCCCGCCTGCAAGGTGGCTGCTGCTTCCCAAAGCAAGGCAGGCCACTACCTAAATGCCACATTTTTTTGTGGTTTTTTTTTGAGACAGAGTCTTGCTTTGTTGCCCAGGCTAGAGTGAGTGCCGTGGCGTCAGCCTAGCTCACAGCAACCTCAAACTCCTGGGCTCAAGTGATCCTCCTGCCTCAGCCTCCCGAGTAGCTGGGACTACAGGCATGTGCCACCATGCCCGGCTAATTGTTTCTATATATATTAGTTGGCCAATTAATTTCTTTCTATTTATAGTAAAGATGGGGGTCTCACTCTTGCTCAGGCTGGTTTCGAACTCCTGACCTCGAGCAATCCGCCCGCCTGGGCCGTGATAAGAGTGCTAAGATTACAGGTGTGAGCCAGCGCTCCTGGCCTAAATGCCAAATTATTCACAAGGAAAGAAAGGCTGTCCAGGGGCTCAGTCCTTTCCTGAGGGTGTCGGAGCAGCCAGGGTTGACTGAGCACTCACTACGTACTAGGCAATGTAGGCATTGGCTCACCCAATTGTCACAACCCTCCTTGAAAGTGGGGGCTGTTTTTATCCCCATTGTACAGATGGGGAGCAGATTAGAGACCTGCCTGGATCCCTCAGCTGCAGGGAGGCAAACTGGGGTGAAAACCCACCCTCCCCATTCCCACTCAGCTGGCTTCCAAAGCGTGAGAACCAACGTGGCCCAGAAGAGTAGCACGTGGCCCAGAAGAGTAGCACGTGGCCCAGCTGACCGCCAGGTGCTGACCCCACCCCTTCTCCCCCACCGCATGGGCACGTGGCTTGCTCGGTACTCAGCTGACTTCCTGTCCCTGGAAGAGCAGCTGCCAGTATGCCGGGGCAGGGCGGTCCCCTTCCTGTGGTTCAGGTAAGGGCATAACCCCATGCCTTCTTAGCATCCTCCCTCTGTCCCTTCCCAGGCTCTGCAAGTCAGACCTGGGTACCCCAGAGAGCCTCTCAGGGCCAGATGTTGGTCCAGAGGCCTCAGCTGCAGGGTGGGGGGCGCAGGGTGGGCAGAGAGGGGACTGCAGGTCTTGACTGAAGACGGTTTGGGAGGAGCTGAGAACCTTCCCTCCAGCTATCAAAGACACTTGGAGGCTTTCTGCATCACACTGCCTCGCTGAGCCTCTCTGACAGGTGATGCAAATGAAAGCCCCTTAACCTCTCTCCCTGGCCTCCCCAACCTGGTGTTGTGGGTTCGACAGGAGCTTCTCCACCCCACCTTCAGATCCTGGATGTGACTGCTGGACATCACCTCGACTTTCCCCTAGGTGACATTGCCAAGGAACCGTGGCACTGCCTGTGTTTCCCATGCCCAGCTCCATGGCTCCACCTCCCTCTCTCTCTTCCCCGTGGAAGCTCAAAATAAGCTTTTTAGAGGACGATGTTCCTGGTGCGAGGGTCATCTGAGGCTGCTAAGACTGAAGCTCTTCACCAGAGACGTGCAGGAAGCCCCCTGCAGCGCAGTGAGGCAATGTCTGGGGAGCGCCAGGCCCTCCCCGGGCGCCCTGGCCCGCAGCCTGCCTCCCCGCCCGCAGGCCATCCGCTGGGCTCCATCCCCGGGCGCCTTCGCAGCCTGGCCTCGGGGCTCAAGGTGTTTTTAGCGGGCATGAAGGGGCATTTGGCACGCCTCTCTGCCCAAGAACAGGGAAGGGCACATTTCTCAGGCTCTTCTTGGAAGACGAAAGTAAAAGAGAAAAGATCTTAATTTGAGATCCCACAGGACCACAGGCCCGGGTAGACTGGTGTCCTCCCCAAATTCAAGTCCGTGAACCTAGAAATGTAACCTTATTTGGAAACAGGGTCTTTGCAGATGTAATTAAGTTACGATGAGGTCATCCTGTATGAGTTTGGGCCCTAATCCAATGACTGGCATCCTTGTAAGAAGAGGGAAGTTTGGACACAGGCACACAGAGAAGCAGCCCACGTGACGGTGGAGGCAGACACTGGAGTGCTGCGTCTCCGAGCCAAGAAACGCCAGTTACCCAGGGTCGTTGGCACGGCAGAGCTGGAGGGGGCACGGAGGGAGTCTTCTATAAAGGCTGCAGAGGGCGCGTGGCCCTGCGACACTTGGATTTGGGACTTCTGGCCTCCGGAAACGTGAGAGAATAAGTTTCTGTAGTTTTAGGCTGCTCGGCTTATGGCAGCCCTAGGACACTGACAACCACAGAGGACAGTTGGGGAAACAAGGAGGAAACACATCCGGCACATAAAGAAAAGACTTGGAAGAGACAAGGGGGGAACAGGAAGGAACACTTCCCCAACTTCCTCCTCTAACCCGACAGGAAGCTGGGACCTCGTGGCTGAGCCTTGGAAGAAGTGGCTGCTTTCCTCCTAGCAAGAGTGCGTGAGCGGGCATGTTGGTGAATGGGAGGTGTCTGAATCTTGCTGGGTCCCAGGGAGACCCTCTTAATCATCATGAAGTTGCCCTGCTGCGGTGGCTCACACCTGTAATCCTAGCGCTCTGGGAGGCCGAGGCGGATGATTGTTTGAGTCCGGAGTTCGAGACAGGCTGAAGCACAGCGGAGACCCCGTCTCAAAAAAAATAAAAAGAAAAAGAAGAAAGAAGGGAAAATTTGGGGCCAGGTGTTGTGGCGACACCTTGTTAGTCCCAGCTACTCGGGAGGCTGAGGCAGGAGGATCACCTGAGCCCAGGAGTTTGAGGTTGCAGTGAGCTATGATGACGCCACTGCACTCTAGCCCGGGCAACAGACACTCCGTCTAAAAAAAAAAAAAAAAAAGTCATAAAGTCATGACACGGTCTTGTCTCATCCTCATAACAGCCCAAGAAGCAGGTTTTACTGAAATCCCCATGTATGGATTAGGAACCAAGTCGGGGTGGTTAGGTACCTGCCCGAGGTCATATACTGGCAAGCAGTGATCTGGGACACGTGCCCAGCTTCCTTGACCCACAGCCTGTGCCCTGCCCCTGGCGCTTGCCCTCTCCTGGTCCAGGGCTCCTGCGCACGAGTCCCGTGTCTTGGTGGGGTTGGGCCAAGAGGCACAGTAAGCATGCTGGCCACAGGCGGGGGTGCAGAGCCGGGCTGCCTGGGTTTGGACCCTAGCTCTGTTCCTGGTTCGCTGTGTGACCTTGGGCAAGTTACATGACACCCCTGTTCTGCAGTTTCCTCCATTGCAAAAATGGAGACAATAATAGGACCTAATTCATGGCCTTGCTGGGGAATTCAATGAGTCAATAAGTTTCAAGTGCTTAGAATAGTGCTTGGCACCTTGGAAGCACAGCCATAGAAGTGTGGTGAAATAAATAAAACTCACTGGGCAAGGGCTCTTTGCGTCCACGGCTGGGGCCAAGGAGAGGGCTTCAGGACGGTGACCTGTCTTGTTCTTACTCCAGGAGCCCAGCAGCAGCCTGACGCAGGTCTCGTCTGTTTCCCACAGAACCCTCCAGAGACCAGCAAGGAGGGCGCCGAGACCAGGCAGCAGAGTTCTGCCTCCATCCTGGGCAGTCTGACGCAGTGGCTTGAATCCTGCCTCTAGGGTCAAGGTCACCTTGTCTGCTCCACCCTGAACCCCCGTGGGCCATCTCCGGTTAGCTGTCTTGCTCGAGGTGGGAGCCTAGGCTGGGGCGATTCACTGTCACTCATCACCCCACGAGTGATAACACACAGTGCACATCCCAGGGACAGCACTGTCCGTCACCTTCACCCTGGGAGCTCAGAATGTGCTGGGCAGCGTGTGCACCCCATGCGTGTCCAGGAAGTCCTCCAGTCGTCCCTGGCCACCTCCCTGCCTGTCCTTTGGGGGCCTGCAGCCTCTACCTGGCATCTGGCTCTTTTAACTGGCTCCCGTCCAGGCATCTCTCCTACCAGCCACCAGGCCTGGGGCCTGGGGCCTGGCCTGACAGCCCCAGGACTCTGCTCCTCCCCCACTCGGGTCTGACTGGCTCTGTCCCCGTCCTGGTGTGGGGATGAGGTCTCTTGCTGCAGCTGGGCCCGTTGGCTGACCTTCTCAGCTCCTCTCTTAGGCTGGAGAGGCCTGGAAGAGTGCCCGAGGGAGGGTCCAGGCTGCTCTCCTGGCCTCCTCCCCTCCGTTCTGGGGCTCTGGCCGGCTCCTGGGCAGGGTCCCTGCTGAGGGAGTTCTCAGCCAAATCCTGGCCCTGGGGTGGCCTGAGGAGTCCAGTGGGGAAGCCCCCACGTGCAGGGCAGCGCTCCACAGCCTTGACCGCCCCTCCCCCAACGTTGGGCAATGCTGGCCGGTCTCTGAAGGTCTTCCGGGTGGCCCTCCTGCCAGACCCTCTTGCCTACTTTCACTAGGTGCCAGGGGACACTAAAAGGGCAGTGAATGCTGGAGGACCACTCTTGGAAGCCAGCCTGCCTCCCTGCAGCCCCCTTTGCGTAGGAGTCTACAATAGGGAACCATAGAGGTCATCTCCTCTGCCCCTCGGTTTCCAGAAAGGACAGTTTAGACGGACTAGGGGTTCTCTGAGGCTTTGAGGAAGACCTGGGCATGGGGGTGGCCAAAGGTCTTGCTGGAGTTTCCTTGGGGATTGTACGTCCACTGGGAGCACCAGCCCTGAGCACCTGAGGCTTCTACCTGCTGGGATGACTCTGGTGTTCCCACCAGGATCTAGGTGGATGGAATGGCAATCTAGGACTGTCCCTTGGGGGTGACCTGGACACTGGTGAGAGCCAAGAGTGGACCTGGCTGTCACTTGGGTCCCTGAGAGAGCCTTCACAGTAGCTGCTAAGTGGCGGTGAGGGCTCTCACACGCTGGCGCGAGCAGTAGGTGTTCGGTATTCCAACTCTGCTGCCACTACTGCTTATCTGTGTGATCTGAGGCAAGCCTCAACCCTGGTACACCTGGGCTTGCTCAGCTGAAAGCACTGTATATTTTATTTTACCTGCCTTACTTATAACTGAGGCACGTAGCAAGGAGGGAAGGAGATCATCTATTAGAATGAATTTTGAAAAAAAAAAAAACCAAAAATGCTATTTATGCAAACACGTGGTATTAAAAAGATGCCTAGTTGCTTCTGGAAGCAAAAGTTGCAAATGAATTAAATGGTATTTTAATGACTTCAGGAACCCCATTGTTTAAAGAACGTTTCTTAAGGCTGGGGCAGGGAAGGGGGCATTAAAAAAACCATAATGTTTCTTTTCTTTCTTTTTTTTTTTTTTTTGAGAGAGAGTCTCACTCTGTTGCCCAGGCTAGAATGCTGTGGCATCAGCCTAACTCACAGCAACCTCGAACTCTTGGGCTCAAGTGATCCTCCTGCCTCAGCCTCCCGAGTAGCTGGGACTACAGGCATGTGCCACCATGCCCGGCTAATTTTTTCTATATATTTTTAGTTGTTTGGCTAATTTCTTTCTATTTATAGTAGAGATGGGGGTCTCGCTCTTGCTCAGGCTGGTTTTGAACTCTCCTGACCTTGAGTGATCCACCTGCCTCGTTCTCCCAGAGTGCTGGGATTACAGGCGTGAGCCACCGTGCCCGGCCAAAAAATAATGTTTCTTCTTTTGCACAGCCATGCGTCAAGTGTTTGCTGAGCTTCTGCCAGGCCACCCATCTGCTGGATTTTGTGAAGAACACAAGAAAGTGGAAGATACAGTGCCTGGTATGGAGTCAGCACTCAGTAAATAATCATTGGATGAATGAACAAATGTGAGTGAGTCCCGTTTGGAAGGAGACAGGAAAGTGACCGAGTGATCAATGAGTGGTGCAGGCTGTGGGTATAGGATGCGTTTGGAGGGACAACGGGGAGGGGTGAGCTTTCCACCAGGGTTAGAGCCTGGAGGGTTTTGGAAACTCAGCTTAGCGGAAGGTGCCAGAGGGGAAGCATGTGGATCCGAGGGGGATGGGCGTGCGGATGACATCAGGAAAGCAATATTTTTAGAGCATGAGTCTGGCATGGACATGCCTGGTGGGGACATACCAAACTTCTTGAAGTTCCCCAAAGTTTCCCTTTTCCAGGCCATTTCCCTGTTTCTGATATTTAGAATGCCCCTTCCTCCCAAGCCTGTGGAAGGAACACCTGCCGTTTTTGCCTTGGCTCATACACATGTCATCTCTTCTGGGAAGCTGCTATAGGTCATTTCCTCCTGGGCACCCCTAGCTGTACCCTGTAAACTGTTTTAGTTTTACACTCGTTCCTTTTTAGGATACTTCTTGGTTTTCATGTCTGGTTCTCCTTTCAGGCTGCAGTACCTCCTGGGGCGTGGATCCCCAACATGGCGTGGCGGCCTGAGCAGGGGTTCCACCTGCGCCGGTGTCTCCTGCCGCTGCTGCACCTACAGTTGAAGAACACTGCAGCCCCACCCCCACTGCGCAGCCTCCCGGGACACCATCCACAGAGCTGCAAAGATCCTATCCTGAACAGTGCCCCCTGCAGTTGTGCAGCGCAGAGGCAGGTCCCCGTGGGTTTTATATTTCATGTCTATGCCTTCCATAGCCTGTACATTATAGATACTAAATATATATTCAGTATTTATTTATTTTTTTTGTATGAAAAGACTGATTTGAGATGGGGGAGGGGAGAAAGAGAGGAAATACATCTTCTTGTGTAACATAACCAACTTGCCTTCTGATTTTTTTTAAATCTCTGGGTTTTCAGTCTTTGCCCAACGCTGGGCCTGAACACTGCCTGCGGACAGCTGTGATGCTGTCAACCAGAATCGCCTGCAGTTTTAGCAGTCAGGGCGCCTGGGGCCTCCGATTCTCTCTGCAACCCAGCCTTCCAGGCCAGGGCTGTTGCCCAAGGCGGTGCTGCAATCCGGAGCACTCAGGAGTGGGAAGTCCAGAGTTCTCCCCGCTTCTGGGAACAGCCCCCCTCCCCCCTCCCGGCACCAGCTTCCACAGGCAAGTCCTCATGACAGTGGGTCAGGCTCACCCAAGGATTTCACAAACGCCTGGCCTGTTCCCAGCACAGCACAGCTGGGAGGGCTCAGCGCTGGGGGAAGGAGCACCGTCCTCCTCCCTGGGCCCCCACTGTCCTCCAGCCCAGGCAGAGGGCAGGGCTGCACTTGTCCGTGCTTGCCGGGGTTCAGGCTGGCGGTAAGCTCAGGGCCTCCCCTCCCTGCTCATTTCCCAGCTCAGGCTTAGTCAAGGCACAGGGAGGAAAATCCCTGTCCCGAGAAGAACTTTGTCTTGCTGGAAGGCAGCACCAGTGGTCCCAGAGCCACCAGGGGAGGCGGTGATTATTCAGATTCCAGGGTTCCGATTATTCAGATTCCAGGGTTCCAGACTTCAGGCTTCCGATGCAGAAGAGACACCCTGGGGCATCGCCTTAGGTTCTCTGTGCTTTCAGGGATCTCGAGGGACAGAGGGGAGGAGCTCTGGGCAGCTCTCTTTCTAACTACCGCCCCCCCCCACCCTGGTAGAACTGTCCTTGGATCTGGGGCCTCAGTTTCTCCATCTCCAAAATGGACGTGCTTTGACTTGAGGGTAGAGGGACCAACTGTCCTAGTTTGCCAGGCTTTCAGGGCCAAACCCCCAAGCGTGGGAGGGTGGATGTTGGATATAATGGCAGTGTGATTTGAAGATAATGGCAGTGTGATTGGAAGATGCATCTCCGAGGCACAAATAGTCTGCATTTATTTAATTTACATATTTACTAGCTCATTGTCTGGTCGCTCACTCAACCTCCGGAGACTGGGGAGAGCAGGGCCTTGTCTTGCTGGACGCCAGCTCCCCTGGGCCTAGAACGCTCCCTGACACGTAGGTATTTGCTGAGTGCGTGAATGAGCGAGTGAATGACGAGAACAGGATCCCCGGGAAGAGTGGGTGGGGGTGGGCTTGCTGTGCTCCCCCGGGACAAGAAAACTTGACCCCTCGCAGCTGGGAAAGCGCCGGGCCTTCTGGGCAGCCCCCTCCGAGGGGTCGGTGACCCCGGGGGACGGACGCCGGGCCCCGCCCCGCCCCCACCGCCCGGCCGCTCCGCCTCTCCGCCCCCCGCCCCAGGGAGGTGCGCCTGGCAGCCTCCGGGCCCAATTTCCTGGCACTCGGCTGAGAATAAACAGCGCTCCCCGCCTGCAATCCCGTTGCCGTGGCGACCGCGCTCGGCGGGCGGGGGCGTGGCGGGGCGTGGCGGGGGCGGGGCCGTGTTCGCAGCGCGCATGCTCCGCGTGGCGGCGGCGGCGGCGGCTGCAGCGGCGGCGGCGCGGGCCGGGAGGTGCCACCCCCCGTGCGCGGCGCGGACATTCTTCGCATAGCTCCGCCAGGGCTCCCGCGGTGTCCGGGAAGTGACTCTTCCTGGCAGAGGACGGCCTCGGGGCGACGCGCCTGCCCGCCAGCCCGGCGGCCGCCCGAACGCCAGGGGAGGGAGGAGGAGGGGAGGAGGAGGAGGAGGAGGAGGGGAGGGGGCGGGGCGCAGGAAGGTGCTCCCGGAGCTGGGGCTCCCCTCTCCCGCCGCCTCTGCGCTCCCCGTCCTGCCCGCGCGCCCGGGGCCCGCGGCCCCCTCTCCCGTGGACTCCTGACTGCCTCTTGCCCCTGCCCCCGCCCGGTGCCCCTTCACAAACGTGCCTGCTGGGTCCTAAGCCTAGGACTCATCTTGCTGGCTGATTTTCCGTCGCTAGCTTCCCTGCCTGTGGCCTCCTTCCCGCCCTCCCCCCAAGCAGGCCTTAGATTTCCCATTCTTGGCTCTCGCTCGTCGGAGGCCTGCCCAAAAACAGCACCACCAGAGGGAGGATGGGGCCTCTTGGGGTGGATTCTTGCAGTGCTACAAGCGAGGTACTAGGGCACAGGGCCTTGGGAGCCCTAGGCTCCCCCTTCCTTTCCGTTGGCCAGGGACCCCTGGCTGTGCACCCTGCTGAGGCATAGGGTACCCGCTCCCTGCAGGGCACTTCTTAGAGCCAGGAGCACTCCTCCTTTGGTGGGCAGGCCAGAGAGCCACCCCACTAAGTCCTTTGGAGGAGGGGTGTCTTTCCCTCCAAGGACTGAGAATTACAGAAAGAATTTTGTAATGGGGTATGGGATGAGGAGAGAAGGAAGGAAGGAGCTGTTGGTGAGCAGAACCATCCCAGCAAGATTCTTTCCTGGTGTTGCCACTAGCTTGCTGTGTGAACTGGGGCAAGTTGCTTCCCTTCTCTGGGCCCTGGTTTGCTTGTCTGCAAATCTAGAAGGTTGGTCCAGTCTGTGATCTGAAGTGGAGAGACAAGAAATCTGAGGTGAGCAGTGAGCTGCAGGTAGGGAAAGGAGTCAGATGTCTTCTTGCCTCTGCATCTCCCCAAAACCAAGGTTCAACCTCCAGGGAGCAGGCGGGGAGAACCACTTCCTCCCCAGCCAGATAAGGCCAAGTCCTTTTGCTGGTGGACACTGGACGCGCTGGCTGAACAGCTGCCTTCTGGGCCGAAGGCAGGGACTCCAGGTTTACGGTTCCATCCAGGCTGTTATTCCAGCAGGAGGGGGGCTCTCTGCAGTGCAAGGCAGGAGGTCAGATCCCAGAATGAGAAAGAGCCAGCAGGCTTTTCCTGGAAGCTCATCCTCCTAGAAGGCACTGGGGACCCAGGTCCCCCTGGGTCCCTGCAGCTAGACTCGTGCCCCGGGAAGGTGATCCTACCTGAGTCTGTGTTCCCCATTCCAGAGCCCGGCCCCTTCTTGTCACTTTAGGTCATTTTCCCCAAAAGTCCAGGAAATGGGAAAGAAAAACGACTTTGTTTATTTACTCTGTTGCATTTTGGACGCTGATTCCTGGAGCAGTTTATCAGTGTGGAAGAGGCTCTGGCATTTGTTTCATCTGAGACTCAGATGAGGGGAGGAGCCCTGACTTGGGGTTAACACTCCTCTCCCAGCTGTCAGGTCTCCAAGGGGGGGAAGAAGGAAGCGTGGAAGGAAAACATGGTGGAGAAGGTGTTTTTTGGTTTTAGTAGAATTCTAGTGCCGAAACCCCGGAGTTGAGAGGGAAGACTACCAACCTCTTGGTTTTTTTGGTGGGGGCCTTGCCCAGGGGAGTGTGGGCATATGCTCAGAGAGCTAAGTATGGGGAGGCTGGGTTCATGGGCTTGGGAAATAAATCCAAAGCTGCTGCATTCCTTCCAGTCCTGTCTTTCCCACATTCCCAAGTGGTGTGCCCTCGGGCAGGTTGCTTAACCTCCCTGAACTGGGAGTATCTGCCCCTAATCAGTTGACAAATATTTACTGAGCACCTATCTAGGCACCAGAAGCGACCAGCCCCAGTCCTGGCTTGCACAGCTGTGTCTGAGACTATGGGATGAGAACACCTGCCCGGAGGAGGTAATTGGGGTGGTTAATCCAGGTAGCCTCTAAGTGCCCAGGGTGTGGGAAAGACTATGAACAGATGAATAAATGGGTGCTCTAGGGGAGTAGTGGCTTCCCCTGTCCACTGCTCAGGCTGGGGCCCCCAGAAATGTGGAAGGGAAGCTGGAGATGAGAAGTGGCCAGGAAGCCCTGGAACACCCTGGGGAGGCCACACCTGCCTGCAAGATTTGCAGCAGGACTACCCCTCCCCCACCTCCTGTGAACCCACCAGTGCTGAGGTCACAGGTCACCAAGCCAGGACTCAGTAGTCTGGGCTTTATCGGAACACCTCCCAGCCAAGGAGCCCCAGCGCTTCTAATAGCTTGGAGCCTCTAAAAGCCTTGACCACAGCTCAGCTTGCTCCCAGCAAGCCCTTTGAAGCGCTTCCTTCGAACTTGCTTTGCATATTCTGGTCAGATCTGAATCAGACTAGCAGGAATTACCCCTCTCAGTAACAGCCTAGGTGGCTGCCTTAGCTTGTCGGTGGCACAGGGGCTGACGTAAGTCTTTGATTCCACCACCAGGAGGGCCAGGCCACCAGAGAGGAGGCACAGCCACCACCCCAGGTGGCTCCCTTCCTCCAATGCAGAGCATGGGTGTGGGTGAAAGAGAAATAGTGGGGGAGGGCTCGGAGAAAAGGCTCAAGTCAGGTTTTTCATTAAAAAATAGTGCTCTTTATTATAAATTACTGAAATGTTTCTTTTCTGAATATAAATATAAATATGTGCAAAGTTTGACTTGGGTTGGGATTTGGTTGGGTTCTTCAAGCATCTCCTATAGCCTCGAAGGCCTGAGTTGAGGGAGGGGCGAGGACTGGAGGTGGAATCTTTATAAAAGACAGAGTGATTGAGGCAGATTGTAAACATTATTTAAAAACAAGAAACAAAATATATAGAGAAAAAAAAAAAACCACCCCAACACACAGCTGCCCCACCCAGACCTGACACAGAAAACTTGTGTGTTTGTTTAGTTTTCCCCCCCGGAAAAAAACAGTTCCAGGTAATTCCATCGCTGCTACATTCCTCCAAGTTTTCACTCATCAGTGCTGTGACAGAGCAGGAGCAGCTGCAGGGGACTTCCCGCCTCCCGCACCCAGGCAGGAGGGAGGGCTGTGCAGAGCTTGGGGCTAGGAATGGCCAGTGCCCTCCCAGTGCGTCCAAGGAGTCCAGGGAAGGCGGTCTCGGTCCCCCACCCACTTCCCTGGCCGGGTGCCCTTGGGTGAATCCACTGGCCTCTGCTGGACTGGCTGGGTGTGAGGCTTTCCCTATGCCAGTCCCTATCCATGGGACAGGGAGCATTTAAGGCAAATGTCCTAGT